TCCTCATTAAAATTATTCAACTAGACGGTAATATGATGGATTAGTATAGCAAATCTCTAAAAACAATTCGGTAACATGTGTAGCTAGAGATTGAACTAACTCAACAAATCCAGATCGGAGATACCATGCCAAAATTCTATTTTTTATAAACATATGAACAAAATTATCGATGTTATAGCAAGCTTCTTTTTGTTACTTAACAAGTTTTAAACTAGACTTAATTTCGTTGACAATGGAAGTGCATAAAGTACATATTAGTAGAACTACGTACTCTCGTCTCTCATATGTATGCATTTTGTGACAATCAATCTATAGAACTACAACACTGAATAATGTAATAGAATTATAAATAAATCATGTTTGTAATATGTTTTCAAAATTCTCTGCGTTTCTTTTCTTGAAAACTTGGAATGGGCAATAAAGAAGAGAAATGGTGGGGGATCTCTGGAGCGAAACCTTAACTTCCCCACGTGACGGCAACGAGCAACGCTAATTTTGAATAGAGTAGGGACGATTGTAGTACATTCACTTATTTTGGTGACCTTTTCATTTGCAAAACATAATTTTAAAATCAATCCGAAAGTCTTGCTTCTAAATTCAGTGCTTTGGCCATTTCTTATTTCTAAAATTCAACTTTATTTTACCTCCTGTTTGGACTAAAATTATCATTTAGGTTTGGACGAATCGTTTATTGTTATGTGTAAGAGTTTAGTTTATGCAAAATTTTAGCACCTTGTACTGCTTAGTTTAATCGAATCAAGTAACACCAAGTCTTAATTTTAGGCCCTCGAACCGGTCTTAAATATAATCATTGTACAAAAATCCAAATAATTTGAACTTTGATGGATAATGCCATATAATCATTGTACAATGTATGGTCACCTAATGACGTGATCTATAACGAATGATGCTTGCCGATAAATAGGCAAAATGCCTCATGAATTCTAACACAACAATCTTCCAGTCTTTGGTCATGGTTTTGGCCAGGTTACTCACAATTACCCTTAGTGGCCAAGGGAAACTTACATGGGGATAAGACAGTAACGAGACCTTTTCCCCCTAATTATCTACATGGGGATAAGAATCATATAAGCAAAAAAGAAAAAAAAAAGGTTTCGCAAATATAGTCGTCTTGTGTCAACGCTCTTAGGGATTTACGTATCTCATAGCTAGTGCAAACAACAACAAGGTTACATGGCAATACTCAAGTGCCATGGATTCCTGCAACCTGACTTTCGACTCGGTATACAAGTATATATAATATGGGCAAGACCTTAAAATTTTACATTATATACTCACTTGGAGATGATACCACATGTTTGTTTGTCATTCGTCGAGATTGTCTCTCTAGAGGACAAACCAATATGAAACGTTTACATCCAAAACTTTTGGTGCTAGAAGGACTGAGAACAATAAGGAACGATGAACCCACCTCTCAATAAATATCAGAAAACGCGAAGTTCTCCTCTCATCGAACTTGTATTTATACGATGGATTCGGTTCGACCACATGTTTATAAGATAAAAGGGTGTTTGTATTTAATCTCATGAAAATGTTACACTTTTCTTATGACACATCAATAATAATTATTTTCCTCTTTTTGATATATAGCAAATTGTAGATATTAAAGTCAACTTTGGAGGGGAGTCTATATAAAAATGACCGAGTTTGTAGAGAGTGATGAAAAAAATACCTTTTTTCAACAATGTGCATGATATAAATTATAGGAATATGGATAATAATATTAACACAAATCGCTAAACTATACTAATGTTGTCGATAATTTCTCTAGATTAAAAGATATAATGTTGAACTTATAGATGGTTATTGATCTTTTGTTTTTAAAGATTAGAGTCTATGGTGTATTCGTATATCATCTTAAATCATTAGTCATTACCATATGTTTGACTAGTAATTGTTCATCTTCTTCTTATTGACAAAAAGGTTGACTACTAGTTAGTCTTTAGAGAGCCCAACTGGATTTTGAAGAAAACTTAATGGGCCGAAAAGAGAAAATGAGCAAAGGGCTTTGTCCTTATGTACCCATCTCCCCATCGGGTGACTCTGTTAAGAAAATGTTTCGTTTTTTCATCTACTCCCTTCTCCATATAAAATATTTTAACAAAAAATACAAAGGTTAAAAAAAAAAATTTCTTTAAAAAAATATAAATATAAATATTAATTAAAAACAACTCAACTAATTATAAAAAATACTGCATAATACTATTGACCACACATTCTTCGATAAAAGTAAAAGCTACGTAAACATATGATAACATCTTATATAGTAAAACAAATAAAAAACTTTCAAAAAATGGAGAGAGTAGGACTTAGCTTGATCTAATATATTACATTTTTTAGCTAGACATGTACCTAGGAGGAATCCATGTTTCTCCCGTGTGACACGACCATCTTTTAAAATGCAACAAATCTGATCGCCAAAATTGTTGTTGAAAATTTTTCTCCAGCAACAAAAGTAATTTTATTTATAAAAATCTATGATAAATGAACTAACTTATTTATATTTTTTCATAGGTAGCTTTTGATAATAAATTTTGGTTAATAAGTGTATTT